GCATCTGGTCAAAACTAATCTTTTTTACAAAGTTAGAAGCCAAAATTACTTCATCTATCTTTTGCACCATCAGTTATTTCCTGTTCTTCTTGACTCAGCAATGATGCCATGATTTCATTGCCTTCCTCTCAGCATAGGTGTAGAAGCTTCTCTCCTTGTCTTTTATGAGCCTACAAGTCACTAGATCCATTTCACATCTTAGCCCTTCTGATTTCATCCCTACACATTCCTATTATGTCCTTACATAGATCTCTAATAATTTTCCTTTCCATAATTTAGAAGTGGATTATCATCACCCCCACACACACACTGATTGTTGTCCTGTACTGACCACATCTGAGCAGGAGGTACTGCACAGTGTTAAGTGGAAACCCCCACAAGCTCTTATCTTTCTGTGGGTCATTACTCATTAGCAAAATGGGAGTGAAAAGTATTAATTTTCCTCTATTCTGAGTTTTTTTTGGCTAGAGCTTGAACTCCTTATGACATGGGTGGCCTAGTTATGTGACTGGGCAACAACCAGCACGACAGCCAGTTTGGTCTGCAGCATGCTGATAGCAATAAAATATTCATAAATTCTAAACCTTAATGTATTTATTGTATTTGAGAAACAGTTTCAAAATGCCAATGCTAATACTATCCCTTTCCCATTATAATGAGTAGAAAAACATATCAAACAGAGACCGGTGACAGTATGTTTTTGTTAACAGTTCTCAATCTTCACTGCAGCCTGCAGATACCCAACTTTTCTAAGCAATCAAATATTCCAAAGTTCAAACACTATGAATATTTGCTAACTTTAAACTTCAAGATCAGCTTGTTCAAATTTAAAAGATTCTTTCCCATCTCCAAATTCTGTCTACACATCTTTGTATTCACTACTTTAAACAATAACCCATCAGGCAGACATCCTTCATAAGGATCAACCCCCTCTTTATGACTACTTGTTGCATTGGCCATTCATGGCTAACAGAGAGAAACACAGTCAACTTCTGGCCAATACAAGCAAGAAGCTGGGAGTAGGTCTTCAAATATACAGATCTGTGCCCCAGCATGGCAGTAAGAAGGATTTTACCAAGAAACATGACTGCTCATTACCTTTACCACAAAACGGGATCTTTACAGCTTCAAAGAGCTGGAGAGAGAATGAATCCCACCAGTGACTATCACTGGGGACTATGAATCAGTGGTAGAGTCAGACCTTGATATCTCCAAACAAAATAAAGCTCTGGATTAATTAATTTTTTTAATCAAATAATTGAAATGAATCGAAATTTTCTGCCAGGCATGCTGTCAAACTGACAAAGTGACTCAGCAAGCAAAATAATTGGTCTGTAATGTGATTATATTTGGGGATTCAGGTTGGGGTTTAGACATGCTGTTAACAACTAATCTGAAATAACAGATTTAACGCAAAATTGTCAGGCCTGCAGTTTTAAAAGGTCCTGCTGTCTGTCATTAAACAAGCAGGAACACAGTGCAAAAAATAATTGGCTGCTGTGTCACCACACTAGAGCTTCATTAGAAAATATCTTTAATAAGCTGATCCAGATGTGGAACATTTGTCCCTGAGAAGGTGAGAGTGATCACATTTAGATTACTTCCCCAGACCTGTCCTCTTGCACAACACCCTTTCTTCAGAAGAGGGAGACAATCAATAACCACACACCTCATCTCCAACAAACAGATCCTGTCCCCAGGATCCCCACCTATTAGGAAAGGGAACAGCACAGGTTTCCAAGGACTCCCCAGGACCAGGCAGTACCAGTCTACTTAACTAAGAGGAATTAACACACAGAGATGCTAAGCGTGACACCACACGGGAGAAGCATTCTTGTTGGCACCCTCAAATCAGCAGACACACTACAGGCAATGTACCTGCGGGGGGGTGTGTGTGTGTGGAAAAAAAACACAAAAAAAAACCCGAAACCCACACAATGAAAATTGCATAGCCAGAAATATTCTGTGACCCTAAAACACATTAACCAGAAGTTGTACAATGACTGTGTTACTCAAATAGGTTAATTTAAGAAAATTAAACATCACATTTCTATTGCCCTAAATAATACAGCTGTATGGGCAAAACACTACAGGACTGGTAGTGACAAAACTGAGGAATCACCTGATTATAAAAGCAAAGGAAACTATATCAGCAGTAGAGAAAGCAAGATTTCTTTTAACAAAAGCATTTATTAAGAAAATTTGTATTGTTATTAGCAAAACCCTTGTTAATAAAATGGTCTTTCATGAAGAGGACAATTCATTTCTGGATGTTTAAGGTTGCTGACCTTTTTTTCCCCCAAAGTAGTCATACTGAATTTAGCCTCATTTGATGTAAAACAGATTCCTGGATTACTTTGTCACTTTCCCATGAAACACCGAAGCAAGGCTACAGGAAGAGTTGGGATGTTCTTTACCTTTAAGTGACACTGGAAACCCTTACAAATGCTTTTTTGCCCCCATATTCATGGCTAGCTGTAGCCTGACTTCTTGCCTTTTTATAGCACGAGTCATACTCTACTCCCAAGTAGCATCAGTTCCTGTTACTGGGGGGAAAAAAAAAAACAAAAAAACAAAAAAACTATTTTAATTTGTTTCAACTGCAATTGTTTATAGCTTTTCTGGATCTCTGCTAATCACATTTTGTTTAGACTTACAAATCTGAGTAAGTGGCCTGTAGTGTGGACACTCAAGACCAATCCTTGTAGATCAGTCCCCTGAAATAGGTGACAAAAATATCCCCTTCCTAATCCTACACTCCCGTGACAAAATAACTGAACTGTCAAGCAAAGGAGGTGCGCAGATTCCCTAGAAATCACAGGCCATGGGCAACGAGGGATTCTGAGGGTGATTTAGTGAACTTCACTGCTCCAAATCAGAGGCACCCCACCTATGCCATTCCAAAAAATGCTCTTCAGCCTGTTCTCAAAACCTCCAGATCCCAGAGCTGTGGAGCCCAGGCAAGGTATGCCCTAGCTGAAGATGTCACACACATTCATATATTCTACTATAATATATCCTAGGCAAATGAAGGAAGGTGCAACTACTGTCAGCATTACTTGTCTGGGTTATAACAGGGCATGTAGCTGCAATATGGATGCATTTTGTTCATCTTTCAGCATCTTGCTTCCAGCTCTTCTGAGTTTTTTCCAAGGAAAAAGAAAATCTATTTTTCAGAGTCCCGAGTCTCCTTGAATGCAAACATGTACCATACTAATTTCATTCTGTTTCTGCCTTTTGTGCTTCTCCCTGTAGAGCCTTGCAGACTAAGGTTGCAGACAAGTGGGAAGGCAACATTATCACTCATGTCTGGTCTCCAACACAAATAAAGTCAGGATTCTGCCACCAGATGGCCAAACACCTCACAAATTAGCTTATTCCTTCTAGTTTAGAAGAAACCCTTATCATCATCTTATATTTTCATATCTCTGATACCTTAAAAGTAGGTATTGTTTAAATTCCAGCAATTCATGGAAACTAAATATAATAAACAGACTTGAAGACAGGTGGGAGGAGTATCCTCACTGCACAGCAAACTCATTCCTATTAATGCTGTGCAACTCTTCTGTGAAGCAAGAGCAAGAAAATGGTGGAGTCCTCACAACCCACTTGCATTTTGCCTCCTCCCATGATTAAAAGACAATCCAGGCTTTCTAGCACTGCTGTTTTGTTAGGCAGGGACTCACTGACCTTTTAAAAGTTAATTATTTAATATACCAGAATCATATTACTGTTCTCAGCTACCTGTATTCCTGTTTGATTTGTATAAAAACAGACTAAGGAAGACAACTGCACCGTTTAACTGCAAGACTGAACTTGTTTTTCATTAGCAGAGAGGAAGACAACAAAATTATCAGACACAGCAGTTCCCACCAAGATTTGATTTGGAAGCTTTGCACAAAAGCTAAAAATAGAAGACAGTGCAGTCATAAATCACTTAAAATAGTGTTCGTGGACAAGGAGCACTTCAAGGAGGGTGTGATCAACTGCAGTGAATGGAATCTCGGGGGTGCACAGGGAACTGAGAGCAGAGATGACCTTCTGGGCGCTCTCAGCAACCCAAAGCCCCAGCGCCAGGTTGGGGCAGGGGATGTGCAGAGGCATGGGGGCAAATTCACTCGGTTCAAAGGGACAGCAGTTTCACAGCTGTCAGAGGGAGCTATGTTGGACAAAGCCTTCAGACATACGAAGCTAATATTTGTAAAGAGCTGTGAAGGTGAAAGTCCTGAGGATCAAGATTTTCTTGGAGGGATTCACTCTTTTATTCACTTTTAAACAAAGTTTTTAAAATGTTTGATATATAAAATGCTATTTATCTACGCAGTCTTCCAGACAGCTATATACAGAGACAAGACCTACTCACACAGATGTGAGCTGTATTCCATATCATCTGTTCCTGTTCTGATACTGGCCAAAATATTTTTGCTATAAAGGGAAAATAACCTAAAAGCTTCCCACCAAAGATTACATATCAGGAAAAGTGGAGAGCTGGTTCACAGAAATCTCTCAAGAAGCATGTGCTGTTTGCAGAAAGAGATAATAGCTAAATTCTCTGTCCATTCTCTACCTTCAAAAGCATATTAAGTTGTTTAGGGCATTTAAAATCCTGAATCTATGTTGTAATTACAGATAACATTTTCCCCAGAGCTCTCAGGAACAGCCAGCAGTATATGCTTTTATTCAACCAACCTGCTTGGAAATCACTGCAAGTACTCCATGGCACATAATTTCAAAGAAGTTTCTCAAAACTTCTGCTGAGTGGTGGTCCTCTCACTATCTGCCAATAGCAAAGGGCAAAGAAAGTAGGTAATTTACTCCACAACCTGTATGGGCCAAACTAGAACCCAACCTCAAGTTTACCAGACATGGTTTATTTGGGCAGTCACTTTCCACTCACTCTAAATGAAGTTAGCTAAAAATACTAAATATGGGAAAACCACATTAATTTTCAACACATAATAAGCAACAAGAGAGAATTACTGAGAACATCAGCCACAAAGTTTAATTCAGTAAGTTGTTTTAATAAAGCTGAGACATTTAGCCAAAATGCATTGATTTCTTTGCTGACAGACTGAGGTTTAGTGCTCTGATCACTTCCGACTACAAGATGAAAAAACAGGCAAAAGAAACCTCCGATTTCTGACTGTAAAATCACTATTTGACATAGAGGCATCTCGCAACATTGGAAAGATTCCTTGCATCCACGCGGAACAAAGGCAAATACTATACAGGGATAGCCACACTGATGGCTAAACTTCCATTAAGCACTTCTCTTGGCTAAGAGAGTCAGGGACTTTTGCCAAACTTAAACTGCTTTTACATTATAAAATAATAGTGGGTATTGGTCCCTAACCAACACAGTCACTAGAGCCTAGTGAATGATTCAATTAACCCATCAGGTCACCTACAGCAGTGTAAGAGGAATCACCCTCTAAGGCTCCATTAACTTTATTGACTAGGCCAACACTGAATATCATGTGAACTTAGACACGCATCTCACAGTGGGATACATAGAAGTGTTTTAACATTGTGCTGAATCCCACCTGCAGTGTGTAAAAAAGATTTCTTCCCATTTCAATAATATCCACGAACAGCAATAGCTGGAAATGGAAAAAAATGTTGCTTTGCAGCAAAGGGGCACTCGCTTAAGTCTGAGAGAGAGAATCTAGCACATCCTAAACCTGCTGAAATGTAGAGACAGTCTTTAAAGAGAGAAAAACAGCTCAGTGATTAGAGATTTACCACCTTATCTTCTAATCCTATACAATTACCAGAGAGTCAAACATGGTACCAGTCTGAGTAGAACCTGACATTAAGTCTTCTGTATCCTGTATCTGTGTTGGTTTTGGCTAGTATGGAGTTAGGTTTTTTCACAGCAGCTCTTATAGTTCTGTGTTTTAGATGTGACAAAACCCATGCTGATAAACCACTAGTGTTTCAGCTATTGCTGAGCAGTGTTTTCACAGCGTCAAGGCCTTCTCTGTTTCTTCCTCTGCCTCTCCAGTAAATAGACTGGGGGTGCACAAGAGGTTGGGAGATGACACAGCCAGGTATATGGCCTGAATGGGAATGGTATTACAAGAATGTCTGATTTTCAGCCCATTTTTTCCCCAATGAAACACAGAATACAAGCCTAGAGTTCATTTCCACCTCACCTTTCCCAGATGATACTGGTTTCGGACTCTTCTAAAGCCACCCTTCCTATTTCTTTTTCTATTTGTGATGTCTACAGCACTCACACCCACAGCAAGAATAATAGTATAAGAAGTTGCAGTAAGTCCATCAGCAACAGCAAAAGTGATAGCATGGAAACAGTTTAGCCAGTGTACACAAATATTGCAGGGCACACAAGGATGTGGCATCATTCTGTAGTCACCGCAATACAGTATTGATGCTTAATTTTGTAGATGACTCAAGGGGCTGTAAAACAACAAAAAAAATGTTTAAAAGCAGAAGTAAAATTCAGAAGTATCTCAGAAAAATGTAAAAAAACAGTCTATGGAAAGAAAACAAAGTCAAAAAAGACAAGAGCAAGAACCTAGGCTTGGGCAAAAAATATTCCGTTATAATAGCAAACTGTTGACTTGAGAGCCAGAGAGGATCTGAAGATTGCAGGAAGTCATGGGCTTTGCCATATCATACTCCTCTGATCTGCGTTGATGAGAGGGAATGAGTAGGAGGATATTCCATCAAGAATGGCAGCAACCCTTTCACATCAGCCACACTGGTAACACCTCACTGAGATATCCTATCCATTCCTGAGACTTGTGCCAGAGCACAAAAGAATAGAAAAAACAACCTCCAGGATGACATTGAAAGAATATACACAGTTTAACCTGAGCACAGTTTAATCTTCTGTTTAACCTGAAGACTACAATTTGTAAAGACAACTTAATGCAGTCTTCAAACATGCAAAAGGAACCTCCAGAGAATGAAAGAAACTACAAGGCATACACCTGGAGTTGGCTATAAAAAGCATCTAGAGCAATGAAAGATCAGCTGGCATCCTCAAATGAAGCCTTGTAAACCTGTGACAACAGCAATGGGGAAGCTGTACAGTGACAATGTGCATTTATGTCACATTAAATACATGTCAGATCCGTTAGCTGTTCGTATCTTGTCTTACAAATGCTACTCCAAGCAATTTTCACATAAAGTATCAGAATTAAGGACTTAAAATCACAGCAGAAAGAGCTGGGGGAGACTTTGAAAAGTCTTCTTCTCCTGTCTCAAGATCAAACTCTACCTACCTATCATTCCAGATCAATGGGTGACCAGTAGTTGTGCATAAATGACAAAAAAATCTTGAATAAAAATATTGTCCTCCAAGACGCTGGTCTGTGAAGAATGCCTTCAACTTTACTATAAAAAGTTATTTATGCTTGTGTTGTTTGCTAAATTCATTTTTACTGCATGTGTGCTCTAGGGTACTTCCTTTGCAAAAGCTAAAAATTTTAGAAGAATCAATTGATGGACTTTCAACTCTAAGACAGAACTTAAAGCAGGTTCATCAGAGCCATTTCAGGCCACCAACTGCCCTCAGACCACACATACAATGGCACATGAAGCTTGGGCACTGGCAAATTAACTTTTTACATCTACCCACACATCAAGAGCTCAGACTGTGCTTTCTCTAAAGTAATCAACACACTCCTTTTGTGTTGTGTGATGTCGCTCCAGGCTCTCCATGTACAGCGCTTAGGTCACACCTAGGAGGCAGAACACCAGGGAGGGTAAAGATGCTTGTAGTTAAAGATGTCTTGTACTTATAGTCATTTAAAATATAGTTCTAGTACTTCACAGACACTTACCATAAGCCTCAGAATAAACAGAGATAGCAGGGCAGTTGTGCAAGACTGATCACCGAGCAGGATACTGCGTTTAAAACTGCAGCTTCATCAACTTGTACAATGGTAGATAACTCTTTTCCAAAGACAGTCTCTTTTCCTGGGACAGTCCTGGGGCTGTATTACTAGTTTTGAAATCTGGGACCCAAGAAAAGCTTAAATGTTCTTTTAGAACCAGCTTCCAGTGGTTCTTAACTTGGGGGCTAAAATTTACACCAACTTCCCTGTAAAGGGTGCAGCAGCATGACCTTCTTGAAAGAAACTTGTTACCTTTCTTTCTCACTTTTAACAACATAAATGCAACATCTAGAAAAGTAATATCACCACACAGCTACATCAATATGCACACAAGACTTATGATCTCAACAAGCTTGGATTTCTGAAGTTTGTTCCTTCATACTGGATTAGATTGTCTTGATTTGTGAGGGCTAAAAATGGCACTTCTAGCTAGAACATTATGGAAATTGTTTCTGAAACAGCTATGCTTAAAGTAAGATTATAGCAGCCTGTGCCTCCACATCTTTTCATTCAGTAGCCCAGCTGGAATTAGAAAGAGAAAACATGCTTTAATGATAAAAATACAGATGCAGAAGACAGGAAATGCTGAAAAAATTTTGATCAAATACAGAACCCTTAAGGGACCCATCAAAACGTTTCTTCTTTCACAGACTGCAAGAGATTTGTGATCTCCTGACATAAGAGTTACTATTTATTTTAACATGTTATTTTCCAATCAGAATTTTTATGAAATTTAAAACAAGTTGGTTGAATTCAATATGTAAAATCCCACTAAAACACATCTGATTATGACTCTAGGAGTAACTCATTGATTGGATTCATGAACAAACTGAAAAAAATAAACCCAAATACCCCTAAGATTGAATGTTGCTATATTGACTTTTAGCAAAGCAACGAAAATCTATGCTGTTCTCTTCCCGGTATTTTAACAAAAACAAAGCAACAATTCAGCACTGTTACAGCCAAACTGCACTAAATGCAGCATCTCACAGTCTTACTCCAAAGGAAAACACAAAAGGAGAAGGCAAAAAAAGCAAGTGGAATATAGACATAAATGAGAACTACCTATCTGGAAGAACACCAATAACTGGCAGAAAGCCTTGTTTTTCATTTTAGCTGAGTTTACCTCCATTTACATCAACCACATTTTACATTACCTCAGTTTACATCAACAGATGACTTCAGGCAATCTCCCTGACATCAACCAATCACTGGTTATGCATAAGAATAACGATACTGTGGCAGCTTTTGCACTTCATTTTGTAGCTAATGGTGTGATACAAATTCACAGTGCTTTCCTCCAATTTGAGCAAAAATAATAACTTCAAACCGTGGGTCCTTAATATGAAGACAATTGCCTCATGCTTCAGACAGCTTTCTACAGCAACTGCATGGGCCTGGGGAATAGGAGGTTGAATAATACAGCTTGAGAAAAAGTGAAGAGGAAAGTGAATGTCTCACAGGAGCCTGTTTAGTTCACTTTCCCCAAGACAGACCCAGGCTGGGAATCTTCAAGGTATCAAGGCCTGGGGCAGATGATCTGCTTCACTACAGCATCCATTCTGGTTCTCTCTAGAGAACTTAGTGGCAAACATAATTGAATGAAAAGTTCTGGAGTCTGAGTTCTGGCTCAAACCGTACCCAGGGGTTGATGGAGCAGCAGTAACGGTGCTGTGCTGGTGCAGCACACCTTCCCTGAAACCGCTGGAAGACCTAGAATGCAGGTGAGAGGCACAACAGTTTCAGCATAGCAAGGAAATACGAAGGAGGGAAGTACTACAAGTTGGAAAAAGCTGACTTGATAGCAGGGAAACATTGTATTTTATGCCAGGCACTGAGCAGAAGAGTAGCAGCACATATTACATGTAAGAATCTTTCTGCTACACAGGGGAGGACATGAATATGTTCTAACACCTGTTAAATGACACACATAGATTCACTTGAGAAGTCCTTTTTCCTCCCTGGTTACACAAGAGTACAGAGGAGCACATCTACAGCAATGTATGAAATCGAGCTTTCAACCCTTGTTCTCCCTAAAGACACCTGAATTTACATTTTCCACCCCTTAGTACCAAAGAATTTGGGTATTGGGTATTCTTGTGGATGAAGGAGGTTTATTTAAAATATTTTAGTTTTTGTAAGTGTGAGGACTGGTCTAAGCACACCATGCCTTCCACACAAATGTCCTAACAAGCTGGTGTTCACCTTCATGGCCTTACAGATATTTATGAAGAGGAACAGCTTAACCTGAAGATACACATCTGGCCTGTGACCAATTACAACAGGATACTATTCTAAGTGTATGTGGTAACCACAGTTTTCCATTCTGAAAACTTATAGTAAGGTAAGACACATTTTCCTGGACCACTAGCTTGAGATTGCTACCCTTACTCCATATTTGAGTCCTTTCTGGTTCAAAGAATATCAGTAGTTTTGCTGAAATCAGAATAATAAAATATGCACAGACCATGAGTTGGAAAAAAACATTTTTCTATATACAAGTTAGATATCCTTTGTGAAACACAGCACTTCCCTTGAGGAACACGAATTTTGAAGGAAGTGATATAATTCAGAAAAATTGCATCTCCAGCACAGCACTGAATAAAGACTTTTTTCACAGCTTTAAAAGACAGACACTTCTGCTGCTTCCTGGCTATCTTCCAGGGGGGCAGAGGGGACTGGAGCCAACATACACTTTCAGAGAAAACAATTATTAAGTCATGCTTTATACCAGCAAACACCGCACTTTACCTAAACTTGCTTCAGTGTTACCACAATCTAAGCAACTACTAGCAGCTACTATTTCAAGTCCTATTTTCTCTGTAATCTCCCTAGTAGTCTACAGAAGATCAAAAATTACTGGAGAACAGCAGAACTGGCCCTTTTATCCACGGCTTGCTGGTGAAAAATAGTACAGATCAGACATTAAATCACTAGAATTATCATGACATCTTATTTTTAAGTTATCTCTCTGGCAGTGACACAAATCTACAAAGATCCTACAGAAAATCATTTCCAGCACAGTAGATTTCTACTTCTACCAGCCTTATTTGCCAAAATGGAGGAAAAAAAAAAAAAAAAAAAAAACAACAAAACAGTACTAGCTCTTCAGGAAAGTTGCAAAAGACCACCAAGGGACTAGAAATGAACACTTATTCAACTGTGTAATATTTAGTGATTAATTTCTTAATCAGTTCACAATGGTTAACAGAGCTGTACAGGGCAATGGTACAGAGGAACAGGAAGCGCGTTGAGACACTTACACAGTGCCTTAACCTCTCCTGTGCTCAGGACCTTCCACTTGCCTGTTGGAGCCTCTCCCTGTAGCACTGCAGCCCTTTGTCTGTAAGTCTGCACCCTTTCCCTTACGCACTGGGAGGATGGTGTGGCAATGTTTTCATCCGTGTCCTGTCCTTGTCCTGTTCTAGCTCTGCACCTGCTATGTCAGGTTTCTCATGGAAAGTGATTGACACTAATGTGAAAGTCATCCTTTTTTTTCCCCTCACGCCTTCCCACCCCCACTTTGTACCTTTTTAGACAAAAGAAAAAACAAAACCTAGTGAATAACACAGTAGATAGATAGTAGTCCTTTAAAGAGCAGACAGGTATTTCCCAGTGACATCCATACAAAAAGCTTAATAATCAATGAATGTGCAGCTCTTGCCTCTGATCAGAGCGTGTTCCAATCAGCACTAACAGCATCACAAGCAGGAACAACCAGCAGGGAGTTTGAGCAGATCCTGATGAAAATTACATAGTTATTATTGTAAAAATATTATGGTGGGTGGGATTCCCAGGACAGAAGAGTCACCTGGGGAGATCCCTGTGGTGATTTTCTTCTTTGCTGGCCATTGGAGAGTGTTTTTCCTTAAGACTCTTCCATCCTCCTCTCTTTTGATTTTTGGTTTTTATTGTCATCAGAAGTAACTGTTACCATTAAAGCTGTCATTTGCCACCAGCTATGGACTGTCTCATCATCCCTTCTGCAACAGGTCAGCTTGAAAAATACTACTTCACGTTGAAATAAAGTGCAAAAGACTGCATTAATTCTTGTGCGGGGTGGGGGTGGGGGGGGCAGCAGCAGGTTTATCAATCACGTCCTACGTGAATGTTTATATTACTTCAGTGACCTCAAGTTAAAGAACACAAGGACTCAAAATCATAAAACGACTTTCCATACAGCTTCCTTCTGCAAGTGTCTTTGGATTAATCAAAATGTTCTTAAAATGTATACCATTTTCTACAAAAAATGGTAATTAAGCACTAGCTGTATGCTAAATACAATATAAAAAAATCAGTTGCCTCAAAGATTATAAAAACTCCATAAACAGAAGCTACAGCTTGAAGAACTCCAATAGCCACACGGATATTATTCTTTTGGATCAGATAAAAAATGGAAAACTAAAAGCACTGTACAATTCTGGTTTGTCAGACTTGCAAGTTCATGTGATCTACAGTGTCCAAACCAGAAACGGGTAATCAGCAATTAAACAATATCCTTGGTTTTAAAGTATATTCATAATACAAAACACACTGGTGTTATGTGTTATTCTTAACATATGAAATATCATTTAATATAATTTACGGCTTATATAGTCTTTGACTGCAGGGCTGTATTCATTCTTTCTTTTTGGTAAAGTCATATGGTTTCCACCACTGTGCAAACTGCAACACTTTCTTCCTCTGATCCTCAAAGTTCTGTCTGATTCCTTTTCTCCAAAGCCGTGGTTCCAAGTCCAGCATGCCACCAATAATTTCCTTTGCAAGTAGAAGAAAGATAATGATAAATGTAAAATTACCTTAACATCATTTTACCATAGAATAAAGAAATATATGTTTTCAAATTATGAGAATATTTGTCACTGTTTTCTTCAAGTGCTAGTTACTAAAATTTGAAATTCTGAAAAACATACCAATTCAAAATTTAGGACTGTAGTTGTTAGATAGTTACCTCGGCAAAATTCTTTTAAGTACAGCATAGCACTCCACTACATAAATATCCTAACATTGCAAGATTGTTAATATATTAGTACATTTATGACTAAGAAGAGAAAAGTTCAGAAAAAAGAAAGCTGCCCACTTTGCTCTTAACTCCTTTGGAAGTAAGTTATATTTCACCCCAATCACTCTCAGTGTTTTTGCAATATTGACTCTTTCAATAAATGACAGCCGTGACATAATAAAGAAAGGAAAAAATTATTGCAGCTCTTCCTGTATATTCACTCTCTATGCCACACAGAGTAATTTAACCACACAAGTATTTTACTAGGAGTCATCTGTGAGTCTGTGTGTGTATGCACCCTAACTGATAAAAGCAGAAGTCAGTGTACTTATATAAGAATACTATGGCCATGAAAACTCCTAAATAGATACAACTATTTTCCATCTATTAGATTATATGTCAAATATCTAGAGTTCCTACTAATACAAAAGAAACATGGATCTGAGCATCAACCAGTGAAGAAATCAACTACTCCTTTATTCAACAAGCCAAGTTATAATGACTTGCCAAGAAGTCAGCTAATAAACTGGGATAAGGTACATCAAAGCGACTGTTCTGGCAGCATCTTTCAATTATTTAAATTTTACAAAACGGAGTGTAAATAGTAAATTGATCTTTTACATGACAATACCTTTCCAAAGTAATGAGGGAACTCGTGCTGATCTTCAATGACATGAGCAAATCCTCCTTGAAGGCCAAAGTCCACAGAAAAGTATGGCAATCCTTTAGGAACCTATACACGCAAAACCACTTTTTTAGATGTTTAACAGACTGTAGGCATTTAGTTAACCTCCCCACAACTTAATGAATTTCCAAGTGTTTTTACAGTTAATAGCCTCACATTTTATTTTAAACCACCTCTCAAATCAAGATTGTGTAGTATAAAATTGCAACAGAGAAACAGTAAAATAAACAGGCAAGGGGAAAGAACAACACACAACAGCTAGATAAAAAGACGCTGAAAACTGAAAAGATGATTACTGAACCTCCAGAGACCGCTGCTGCAGGACCAGGTAAGAGACAGGGAGGGACCAGGCAGCAGCAGGCACACTGAGCAAATGCCTTCCTGACTCCACACCTCTGAATTACATGGGTTGAGTACAAATTTTAAGACAATCACCAAAAAGTTGCATTTATTAAAGATAAGGGGTTGTTTGATAACAGGAAATATTTACCCAGTGGAAACACTGACACTCAGGGGGAAGGGGGAACACCTCTATAGGGAATACACTACCAAAAAACCCCACTACATGACTGGAAGTTATCATTAACTTGCCGAACTGGTTAATTTAATAATTTAGTCAGCCTACAGAGCAGACACTGATTATCCTGCCACTAGGAAAGACCCTTCAGTCTGACAGAGTAAGAAGTGGATTCATTTATTGCTACAGCATTGAAAGTAATTTCTGCTGTTTCACTGCAAGAAGTTATTTTCCACTCTTTTAATTGTTGAGGATGTTCCTGTACAGATAAGATTTACAAAGCCCCAAATTCACAAGCATTTCCTCTGCTACAGTCCAAATGACTGTGCAATTTTCACAAGGCATGTTTCATAAATTGCTTGAAAATTCACTCTAAAAATAATTAAGATTTAACACAGAGGGGCAATGTAGCATAGCAAGAAACATAAAACATTTTAAATGAACTAAAAAAAATCCTTAAGTAAGAAAAAAATGGGTTGGCAGGCAACACCTTAAGAAAAATGTCAACTTTATCTTATTTGTTCCTAGCAACGTATCGGTGTCTGGCTGGGATGGAGTGCATTCTTGTCACAGCAGCCCATGTGGTGCTGAGTTTTGGACTGGCGACTAAACCAGTGTTGATAACATGCCAGTGTGCTGGCTATTGCTGAACAGTGCTTGCTGAGAGCTCAGCTCTCCTGGATGTGTCCCCTCCCAGCCCACTGCCCACCCCAGCTCCCTCGCTGCGGGGAGCAGAGGGACAAGCAGAGAGGGCCTTGATGCTGTGCAAAGGCTGGATGCTTAGGCTCTGTCTCTGGACCCCAGTTCCAATTTCTGCATACAATCTGCCCATTAGATGATGTCTCAGCCCTGTCTGACCTTCCTTCCACGCACCACCATCTCCAAATACAACCCTCCAACTTCTCATACCTCAGAGCTCAGTCTCTGAACACCCTCATATCTTCCTGAAGGCTAAAGGCATTCTTCTACCCTAAAATAATGTTAAAATCACACAACTGTGAAGCAATTTACATTCAGATGAATTCTACTAATGTAAAGAAGTGTTGTGACTTAATCTGAAAACTGGCCTACTTTCAAATGGGTATAATAGTCACAAAAATGCATGGTTAAGGAGGTTCTTAAAAAAAAAAAATCAAATGTCCTGATGTCCTACTATGTGCCAAGAAAATTATAATTATTTGTGACAGTTCTTGGTTTTCCCTGTTCTGAAACACTAATAAGCAGAAGATATCCAAAACATACCTATTTTGTTTTCTGTTTACGTCCACCTTAAGTTTAAAGTCTTCCCTAAGTCCTTGCTACAAATTAATTGACTTCCTTCTTGTTTGCACCCATTAGTGCTAGTGAACAACTAAGTACTATCTTCTTTAAAACAATCTCCCATATACAGAAAACTACCATCACATGCTATTTCAGTCTTTTCTTTCCTAGATTGCATAACCCCTAAAATGGTTTCTATAATTAAGTTTTCTAACCTATGCTCTCCTCTTCTGTAACTGTCTTAAAACACTGCTGCCAAATTCAGACACAAATTTTCCAGGTGAAGCCTCACCACTTTGAATAAGGTGACCCATAACTGACTCCCATTACATTTATATGACATTTCAGCTTATGTGGCAGAATAAATTTCTTCTTTTTGATACATTTGCTATCACTGTTGGTTTAGTTCAAGAGTTATTACAATATACAAAAACTCTCCTACTATACAACCACCCAATCCCTTATTCTTCAGCATTTTATTTCCCTCGTTGTCATGTCAGCACTTCATGTCTCATTATTAAAACCCATCTCCTCTTTCCCATATATTAGGATTTTTTTTTAGTGCAAAGGTGCTATATTTACTAAAAGACACTTAAAAAATTAAGTATTATTACTACATAGTAGTAAACTACTTGCGGTAAAGTCTATATACCACACATCTTTCACTTTAATATTAAAAGATGGAAAAATCTTTGAACCCAACAGTTCCAGCGTTATTCCTTTGACATCTGTATTTACAAAGACGTTTCAGTTTAGTATCCAGGAGACAAATAAAGTACTGTTCCCTTGTTTTAGAAAAAAAAAAAAAAAAAAGACATAAAGCTATTTCTGTTTTCACTTCATAAACTTAGCAACAGAAAAGGCTGTTCTAGGTCAATGAAAAAGACACCTCATATCTTATCCCGGGAAGTAATTTGCAAATCTTTGATCTAACTTAATTCTTAAAGTTAATCAAGAAAATTATGCTGGTACATGTCCTCAAAGTGCCAGCTTTGTTCTCAACCAATGCTTGCAGCTCAGCCCGCCAATTGTTGAAATAAATAGGGATCTTTTCCCTAATGTCAGTTAGGAGTTCTGTCAGACTCTTAATTCTCATCATACCTATGCCATCTCCTGACGCACTAATCTAATTGTGTTCCCTTTCTTCTCTCTTTGAAACAGTTAATAATGAAAAAAAGATAAGAAACACTTGCTGAGAAACAAAGTGTTCAATACATCTCATTACTTACAGATTTCCGAATATCTTTTGAAGAAAGATCAATTAATTTCTTATTCATGGACCACTCTTCATCGGACTCCATTATAGCTTTCTGTAAAATTATTTTATGTAAATGTGAAAGCAGACCTTCATATACCAAACAAAGAACTAACTTTTCAATGTTGTGAAGTACATTGCACTGCAAGTACCATTTCTTAACAAAGTAACTATTTTTGGCAACCTTTCCAATTTCCACAACTTACATACTTTATACAGGCATTGTATAATATCTTCAAACTTACTTAATTCTACTGCTTTTTTGTTTTGGTTTGGTTTTTTTGTTTTGTTTTGTTTTTTAATTTAACTTTTGCCTGACACAAATTTTCTCTAACACATTTCAACTAAGAGGTTACATTCTCTCTTTACTAAGCTCATAAAAAAACTTTAATGAATTCATTATGCTATATTAGGTTTTTTTAAGTACTAAGAGGAAAATCCAGCTTAGAAGGCTGACTGTGCTTAAAAATCTTTAAAAGTGCCTCTGTATCCTCCACAAGATAGCAGTGGGTATAGTGTATTTTAAGTGCCTTTTAAATTTCATTTGCTGTGTTTTTTAATGGTGGAAACTTCTGAAAGTAAGTTTATGCAAATTACATTGCATTAAATCTTATACTTCATCTTTCGTTTAGTATTCAGACAAAACACAAGTTTTACCATCACTTGAAGCATAGGAATGAAATCAACCAGGTGGAGAGTTACAAATGTGGTAAGTTACTGCACTACTCTTCATCATATGGACTGCTCCACTTCATCAGAAACCAATCACATTACTTCCAGAAAACAAAAATAATATTTCAAAGAACAAATAAAATAATTTTCTTATAAAAGGCAAATCATGACCCAGCTGCTGAAAGCCAAAAGGCCTCAGTACCAGGTAAAAGCTTCAGTGAGTCTCTCTTTACAGAGTCAAGGGAAAGACACCACAAAAGCTATAGAAGAACGTCTATCATGCTGTCTAACATTCATCAGAGACCTAAAACACATGTAAAATTTGGGCTTACTGAAATAAAATGGGGATGAAACATTATAAATTGTTATTTCTTAAAACAGTTGGCATTATTTTCTCATTTTATGCTTGCCAAGACACATGTACAGGGTTTTAAGTTTATACTACAGGACTAAGTAAGAATTATTGCAATCCTTACAGAACTTCAAGAAACTACAATTCTTTCATCATCTTCCAGGATTTGTTAGTGCAGTCAGACTTAAGGCAACTGTGCAGTGACATACAGCTCTTCTACTGACTACATGAAAAAGAGAATTATCTCACAGGGCTTGTTTCAGGATCAAGTAATATGATCAAAGAATGGATCAAGAAATAGGATCAAAGAACCCATCTTTTCAAAACCAGTACTTGAATGTCAAAAAAAAGTTTTCCAGAAATAGAGGAATTATGATAAATACATTCAAATGACCTAAAGAAAACCATTTTCATGTACCTTAAAGTAGATTGGAGCCATATGTCCTACTTCTTTCGGAAGAGGAATGCATTCATATACCATGTGATATCGTTTCTTCATACTCATGTTTGTTTCTAGGAACACACAGTCCAAATCTTTAGCTTCAAACATTTTCACCAATGCATTTCGGAACATCTGTTTAAAGAAAAAAAAAAAAGTGTAATTTGAATTAACTTTTCAAAGCTTTCAGATATAATAATTTATATTATTTCAGTAACATAATCATAATAAACTCATAATAAATTGGATAACAGCAGCAATCGTATTAGGAAAATTCTGTATTATTCAACAATTTAATACGAGCTACAGTTCTTATGATAGAAACATAGGAAATCTAGAAAACTATACTGAATTATGCATTATAACTAACAGTTCATACTTAGTTTTAGTAAATACCACATATTTTTACAGTGGAAATTAAAACTGCGTTGAATTCCATAACTGCTCCATAAAACAACATGGCTTTAACAGTTGGTCTCAAACTTGCAGTTTTTAAGAAGGTAATGTCTTGGCTTGTGCTGACTATAGATACCATTATCCTTTCACTACTCCTTTCAATTATACAGTTTAATTAAATAAATAAAACTACAATTCCACTAGGCATGCTTGACCTTGAAGGAAAATATTAACATTGCCTCAAAAGAAAGCCATGGCTATAACCACCATCTTCACTGTACGGAAGCTGATCAAATGTAATGCTTAATACATCTGGCCTCAACGTACACTTAACAGTTCTTCTTCATAGGGATTAGGTGCTGCACCTATTCAAAGTGTATTTCAATTTATAATTCTGCTAGCTCCAGTGTCAGGGCCTTGCATACATTCAAGAGCTTCTTCTACCTGCTGGGGCTCTGGCTGCCCACGCAGGTGGTCAGCTCTGACATGCTGCAGCTGTAACTTGGGATCAAACACAGCAGAAAGAGCTGGGGAAAAACACTGTAAGAAGTGGGGGCCTGGACCCCCATCACTGAGGAACTGCAGGTAAATTCAGGCCTTTTGGTTCTTGCCTGAGCTAAGTTTCAGGGATGCCTGTGTCTAGCTGTGTACCTGGCACATCTTGGCCCTGCCTTGCTGACTTTTCCTTAAAGTTAAGACACCACTGCAGACTTGCCTGGTCATCACTGGGCCATGGCTGACCCTGCCTACCATCATGGGACCTGCTCTCTTCTCCTGGCTTGGGTAACATGGGACTGCATCTTGTCAGTGAGGTGAATTCCCCCACCTGCCTTGCCCATCAACCTTCTACCCTTGACTTGCCTTCCTCTGGAGCAGCCCGCTCTTGCTGCTCCCTGACTCTTGGCAGTTGGTATTTGCATCCAAAAAAACAAAAAAGCATCATTCTGTAGCTTACAATGTAGATGCTGAACTAAATTATCAAGCACAATGTATGATTTCTGAGACTCATTCAGACTCATTTTCAAATGCACAAAAGAGATGTCTTTGTGACAGGGTGAATTGTTTCAGAAAGTATCTCAAGATCTTGAAAATTGCTTTTTAAAAATGAAGATTTTTTTATTATACATGCTCCCTATATCATTTCCACCGTGTAAGCCAAGAAATCACTGAAACTGTATAAGCTTCACAGACTGTAGGTATCATAGCTCTATAACTCACATAACTCTTAGGTTGTCCTAATGCTTAGAAGTACAAATACCACCATTAAAAGGCTAATCTCATCTAAAGGTTTAAGATTCCCTATCTTAATGTAAATAGAGAGTTGATGAATCAAACAATCATAGGCAAATACACATATTCATAAATATCAGCAAATACTTAAGTAAATCAGATAAAAAACAAATCACTAACAGGTTTTCAATGCAATGGGACTAGAAATTGAGCTCTTCTCCCCACCCCTTCGTCATCTTGCAGAGTGTGAATCAAAATAAAAGTCTAAGAAACTTGGCCAAATATATATTAACCAGGTATTTAAGCTCTCAGAGGAGGCCCTTGTGCCCTGAGTTTTTCCTCACAAATAAGCTCCTCCATGCTGTCACAAGAAAATGCTGCCATCATCCCCCTAACAGAACTGATGAAACACAGCTATAAGATATTGCCCAGTGAATACATCATTGCACCATGACTGATATGGGACTTTACTGTTCAGAGTGACAGGCAACTCTGAATTAATAGCTCGGTGTCTTCTCCCCCTCACCCCTGCCCCCAGACCTCTACTTCCAAAATACACCAAAGGCAAGACCAATGTTACTTAAACCATTTCATACTCATGAATTAACATGTCTTTAAATATAAACAACAAAGCCTTTCTGTAGTCTGAAATAGTCTACAGTATTTTGACCTAAAAGGTTGCAAGTTGTTTTTCCCTTCAAATAATCCTGATGGAGGGGGAAGGAGAGGGGAGAGGCAGGGATTGACAATCACAGTCAATCTCTTTGGCAAGAGCTTGTTACATTCCTCCCTTGATTTTCCTTTTCCAATGAAAACAAAACTCAAAACCTTCAAAATGTCTTCATAAGAGAGTTGGAAAGAATGACCCACCATGCTTGGCACTTTATGATAATAATTCTTCTCAAAAAAAATAGGAAATTGGATTCTAACAGGGACCTCACTGATTTGAAGAAGAACGAGATAGTCCTCTCTCAGTTGACATTCACCCAATAACCTCGTTTCAAAGACCTCCAACAACAGAGGTTCTGCAGCATTCCAGGAAACTTTCTCTAGTGCTTATAAATGGGAACTTTTCTTTGGTGTTTACCCTGCGTCTCCCTTTCACAATATCTGACCACTAATTTTCATCCATAATGCAAGAATGTTCTACCTCTTAGTGCAATCAGAAAAAAGCTGCCAGATTGGAAATTATGAAAATAGGTACTTATGACAAGTATATTATTATTCAAAACGACATTATTTTACAAAACTGTTAAAACATGACAGAGTTTCTCAGCTGACCTGAATTTCTTCCCAGATGTCTTCATCCAACAGAGTGGCTGCAGTATGGTGCTGGAGAGGGGCAATCAGGCAGTGACCTTCAGTAAGGGACTGGTTGCTTGGTAGAGACAAGTATACCTATAAGAAGTGAACAAAAACTGAAGTGCCCATTTTTCTAGCATTAAAAGTCTTCCTGTTGCTGATGCTAAGAAATACATTGTTTGCTAAATTCAAACCGATAGAAGCCATTACCTTTCAGTTACAGCAAGGTACTAGTAATTTTAGCGTTTTTAAAAAGGTCCCATTATCCATCATTAGCTCTAATGAACAAGTAGTAACTAGAAAACAGTTTCACAAACAAGGCAGTAATATCAGCCTTACAGACCAACTGGTATCCTGTTATGAAAACACACTGTTTAGTTCATAACAACACTTTTTTTTTTAATATAGATATATATCTGTATGTGTTTTAATAAATTATATATATATATATATAATGCATGCAGATATAGATATATCTCTGTATATTATCTGTTAGATGTATGAACACATATATGTACACAGAATCACTGGCTCGATGTCCAAGTGGAGAGCAGTGACAAGTGGCATTCCTTCAGGGTTAGTGTTGGGACTGGCACTGTTTAACATCTTTGTTGGCAGCATGGACAGTGGGATTGAGTGCACCCTCATCAAGTTTGCCAACAACACCAAGCTGTGTGGTGTGGTGACACGCTGGAGGGAAGGGATGCCATCCAGAGGGACCCTAAGAAGCTTGAGAGGTGGGCCTGTGCAAACCTCACAAAGTTCAACAAGGCCAAGTGCAAGGCCCTGCCCATGGTTCAAGTCAATCTCAAGCACAAATATAGGCTGGGTGATGACTGGATTGAGAGCAGCACTGCGGAGAAGGATCTGGGGGGTGTTGGTTGATGAGAAGCTCAACATGACCCAGCAATGTGTGTTTGCAGCCCAGAAAGCCAACCATGTCCTGGGCTGCATCAAATGAAGTGTGACCAGCAGGTCGTGGGAGGGGATTCTCCCCCTTTATTCTGCTCTCCTGAGACCCCACCCAGAGTACTGTGTTCAGTCCTGGGGTCCGCAACATAAGAAGGACACGGATCTGCTCGAGGAGATCCAGGGGAGGCCACAAAGATGACCAAGGAGCTAGAGCACCTCCCTTATGAAGACAGGCTGAGAGGGTTGGGGTTGCTCAGTCTAGAGAAGAAAAGGCTCCAGGGAGACCTTATAGCAGTCTTCCAGTACTTAAAGGGGGACAACAGGAAAGATGGGGAGGGACTCTTTATCAGGGGGTGTAGAGGTAGGATGGGGGTTAATGGTTTTAAACTGAAAGAGGGTAGATTTAGACTAGGTATAAGGAAGAAATTCTTTCCTGTGAGGGTGGTGAACACTGGAACAAGTTGCCCAGAGAGGTTGTGGCTGTCCCCTCCCTGGAAGTGTTCCACATGAGGGTGGACGGGGATTTGAGCAACATGATCTAGTGAAAGGGGTCCCTGCCCATGGTGGGGGGCTGGAATGAGATGATATTTGAGGTCTCTTCCAACTCAAACGATTCTATGATTCTATACACAGATATATACACACAGATATACATCTGTTTGCATTTTTTATATCTATCTATCTAAGAAAAATCCAATGTAGCATAACACATATCTATGTATTTAATTCCTTGGCCTACAAAAAGTCTCAAATCAAACTAAAACCATCAATAATAAATTAAAACTTTGGAGAAAGAATGACAAAAAAGCCTATACTGAAGCATTTCAGGTATTATAAATCCAAATATTTATATAACTTTTAAAAGCATTAATAGAAACAGGAAAGTTCCCTGAACCAAACTTCTGCCTATTTGAAAGCATTTTAGGTTTTAAAATGGAATTCTCCACTTAATTTTCTTTTCTATCATTGAGATACAATTCTTTACAAGTTCAAATTTCCTTCAGTGCAGTGTGATTTAGTTTTCCACAAATCCACCTACAGACTAATCTCTGCACTCAGGTCTTTCATTATGGCTCCTATCTCCCACAAATCCACATATGTGAAGTTCTGATATCAAAGATTACCTTTAAAATTCATGTCAGATTTATATCTTTTTCTCTCTCACCCCTGAGGAATTTGTGAAATCTATTGGAAGGGCAAGGAAAATAAGATACAGAAAAATAAATCATTTCATAGAAGCAATTTAATTCTTAATCTTAGGTACTCTAACATCAACACTGCCTTCCTTTATTTCTTTTTTATTTTTACATTTGTGTTAAATTGTTATTTTCTTACCTTGGTGCCAATTGCAATAATAAGATGTTTAGAAAGTTCACTGCTATCAAAGCAGTATGGGCACTTTTCCATTCGTGCAGCAAGCTGCTGGTGCTCATGTCTTGCTTTTCTTCTTTGTATTTCTTCCTCTCCCCCACTGTGCGCTCTTTTGGCTGCTTTGGAAACAAACATGTCATCCAGAGTGTAGTAGTCTCTGTCAGTTTTTTCCATGAGCTGAAAAGATATACAGAAAAATTGCATGTATATATAAATAAACAAGAAAAAGTACTTAGCTCTTTGTAATATCCTTTATTGAGGAAAGCATAAAGTACAGAAGCAGTAGCATTGACTCCTTCCACATGGTATCTGCAGCACATGCAACCATCAGGGTCATCTCCCATATTAAAATAAAGATGTGTGACAGCAATGAGAAAAGTGCATTGCTATATTCCATCTCAAGTTAAGAGCTAGGTATTTCAATATTACATTGACATAACTTCAGCTTTAAATAGGCACACAGTTTTTTAAATGATATATTATCATAAACTTTACTTCCATCTTCTCTCTCCTCCTCTCCCATTACAACTATCACTATCCATTGAATCATCTCTTGTGAAATAACTAGACCATGACTCTGCACCTCATATTACATTCTGTGAAAACATGCCAACAGCTATTCTTACCAAGTAAACAGTACTAAGTCGTTTTGTGAAGAAAAGAGTCTTTGTCTTCAATATTTAGACTTTCTTCAGTGCAACTGTTGCTAGACATGGACAACGAACATAACTAGCACATTATCAGAAACAAGGCTGAATGATCCACAGGTTTTTTGTTTGCTCAATAATTACTACATTCTAGTTAAACGTGCCACATTTAAAAGGAAACTCTGAAAATACTAAATTTGTTATGAAGACATGCATGAGGGTCAGCGGCATGTTACAGGATCTTAACAGTGAAAACCCTACTTGTGTTTAGTTTAGTAGTGGAAATTCCTGGTTTGTTATGCATGACCTCTTTTAAATAATAGTACTTTTCAAAACACCTTAAAAATACTCTACAGATCTTCTTGTGATGAAATAAATATTCATCTTATTAAACAGGTTGTATGATGCCTTTCTTCAACAGTGAATGAAGTGCTGTATACTACGAGACATCTGGGACCCAAAACAGAATGATCACCTAAAAAGCAGTAAACTTTATTAAAGCGATGTCTGAAGACCAGATTTGGTTTCTCCTGGTACAGTCATGACCAACAGAAGATCACTACACTTCAAATGGTAATTCAGTAAGACCAAAAAGAAATGATGTTGCTGTTCTTCAGGAATTGTATTTTTCTGCATCATGTTCAACACAATATGCAAAAATATTCAGAATTCAATGACTCAAACCAAAGAGTAGGTCTGAAGCAATATAAAATCGAACGCATGACCTTAAGTGGAGTCAGTGAAAACAAGCACAATTCAGGAGACTTAAAAAATAAGCTACATATGCAACAAAAAAAGGACAAGGAAGAAACAAAACTAATCAACCAGCCATTAGCAGAAGTTAGAGTCACACAAAAGAATGGTGAGAAATATTCTCCAGAGAGTTCACCTGAGAGTTGTTCTAGTGCTTCCTGGAAATGCAATGGTAGTATTTTAGGATTTAAATTTAAGTCCTCAAAGTGAAGGCAAATGGTGGAAAAGATTAAGTAATACCTTCACGTCCAGTATTACTAAACAGGATATATATATGTCATAGAATTGTGTGCATACATTATCCATTCAATGTAAGCTCCTAGTGCAGCCTGGATCCCACCTAAGTTCTGTGCATCAGACTCGAGTAAGTCTGTGGAGTCTTAAACAAAATTTTGTATTTTTCCTGGAAATAAAAACATGTGTAGGAGAGTTCTTCACACAGTTAGAAGCCATGGGAGCCAGGCACCACTGCACTTCTGGTTTAAGATGTAGTATGTGCTGGTCAACAGAATCAGATGAAGCACATTGGGGAAGGAAGTAAAATAGACATAAGATTACTTTGGAGAAGTAAAGGAACAAGAAAAGGTAGGTAGTAATGCTGCATTTTGGAGAGAGAAGCCATAGTAAAGGGATATTTAGAGAAGGAGTATTCACAGATCAGGTTCAGACTACCTCTACCACAGAGTCTCTACCAGCAACAAAATTATAGATCCCATTGCAATACTAATGAATAACAGAAAATAATAAGGAATGCAAGGCAATTCAAGAAACAAATACCCCAGCTTCAAAGGCATTAAATAAGTGTTTGAGATATGCAGGGTCAAAGAAAAAAAAAAGTTATTTTAAACATTTCAACCTGCTGGTGCAATAAAAAAAAGCCTAGTCATTAATAATTCATGCCCTATTGGATGCTGTTCAAGCACTATACTCTTCCTTTTGCTGAATTAAGACAAGGACATAGTGGAAAAATGAGCGGTTATTTTTTTAACTCATTATCATACTTTTAAGAAGTTTACAAAACTTTTATTCAAATTGTAAATCTAGCGCATCAATGCGAGTGCCATTATCTTGTAGTTCTGAGACAAAGAGACCAAGTTACAGATGATCACCCTGTCCCTGAATATTCATTTCCTGCTGTGTTTTATCACATCCTTTAGATGACTTTTAAAGAGTGCTAAAAGGGGACGTATTTTCATCTCTAAAAACAACAGCCATGAAAGGAATAAGAATTTCTTTGCAACTCCCCTATTGCCATAGTGTCCTTCCATCATACCTAAAAACAGTTCAGGAAGTAAAAGAAACCTAAAACCAGAAAAAAATATCATCAAGAAAGAATTGTGTACTCCTGCTGAAAGAAGGTATGATACGAATATAAGTGGGAAAATCCATTCAACAATGTTTTCTGCCTTAAAAACAAAGAAAAAAAACACTAATGATATTTTGTCTGCAATATTGGAATAGTAGTAATGAACATCAATAACACATTCATTACCCATAACAGTGAAAAAGAAAAAACACTCTTTCTTAAGGGCGTAATTCCTTAAATACGATTATCCCTTCAATCCTGCAAATACAAATGTCAATGTGTCAGAACTGAAATAAAATGTAGCTGCTAACATGGCAGACTAGAGAGTACTCTTCATCTGCTACTCTAAATACTGGCCTTTTTGAAAATTTGCTTGGGAAAAAAAATGGAAATTGTATTTCAAAAAATGTATACTCTTACTTTTACAATAAGGTGCCCAGTGTGTTCTGCCAATCGCATTATTTGTCTATAATGAAATCTCTCAAAAAAAGTAAAGGGGAATTAAATGAAAAAGAAGAAAGTGTTCTCCAAAATGCCAGATAGAACGCAAGTAATCATTTAAAAACTGGTTTCTTTCACACAAATCTTCTTCCAAGACAGAGCTAGTACAAATCCAGAGAAAGAATTATGCTGATGTATTAAGAGTTACTGTAAAGCTGCTGTTCTGCAACAGCTGAAGCATCACACCTGGTAAACTAGAAAGTCAATGCATTCCGGAGGTGTGCATTTAGTTCCCTCACCATGCCTGATACTACTCAGTATTACCCTTGCTGTATTTCAGGGGCTGCCCAGAGATCAGAAACAAACAGGAAGACACTTTGATAGATCAGTTTTACATTGGGATGTCCTACAAAATGTCATTAACTGCCTAACGTTAATATATGAAATTCAGACATCTATAAAGGCAATGCACCTCAAGTCCTTGTTTCTACCAGACACTGGCCAAAACCAACAGCTGACCTGAACTGGCATGCTTATAACACAGGTCATCTCCACAGTCCCTCATCTTCTCTTTCCCATTTCACTTTTTTGTTCTGGGGTCATCTGCCACATTCTTCCTTTGCATGCACCCTCTAAATTCCAACTTTCCCTTCTCTTTTGGCAAGCACTGATTAACCAGAGAACACACAGGCAGCTTTAGAACTCTTAGAATCAGGCAAAATGACATAGCCTCTTATACCTCTTAGCATAATTGTGCAACTGTGAAACTTTTACCATCCATCTGACAGGGGATCTATTTTCCACAACCAGGATGCAGTTTTGGTTTAACCAACAGAGACAGCATCACAGTTTTGCTTATCCTGGCCAAGAAATGCCTGTAATACACAAACACTCAAACAGCAGTCAGGGAAGGCATCCAAACTTCTCTCAGGAGCAGATAAAAATCACCCTTTGGGCTCTCATTTGGACAGCTCAAATACAGTGCAAATGTGGCCAAAACCCAAGAAAAGGAGATCTCTAATCGTTCAGCACAGGAATTCAGAAAGAGATCAGCATCTGACTATGCATAAATGAGAATGATTTGAGAGGGGAAAAATTAGTGTTGTATTTGCTGATGAAATCCTTAACTTGATAATTACCATGAATATATTACATGAATAATTTCATTATATAAAATTCTGTTCATAAAACAATTGATGTCTTTATTCAGTTTTTTTGTGTTACTGAGCCATCAGGCACCTTGGCACGGGGCTACCCCCTAAACTCCTGTAGATCCATTCAAGGCACACTCCAGGGTCAGCCTCATTTTTCTGCCAACATGTGTTCAGATCACTGGAACAGTATCTCATCGCTTAGTTTTAAACTGATTCTGTTTTTCTTATTCCAGAGTAAAATCCCTGGAGTCTTATATACTGCTGGCTGCCTACGCACTATACCTGAAATGGGCTGCATGTTGTGTCTCTCATCTCTCTTTCCACTGCTATTATTTGGTCTTTGGGTGCGCCCTTTGAGAATAAAGCCCTACTAAAGAATTTAATATCATTGTGATACTGAAAGGAAACATCAAGAGACAGAACTCCTCATCATCGGGAATTATTCTTATATAATACCCTGAGTACACCTTTTTCCCACCTTTTCAAATTTTCTCTTAAATTTGGGGATGAAACAGGAAATTCCATTAAACACAATTAGCACAGTAACAAAATATACCTGCATCTTTCTAGTGTGGGTTACTTCCAGCTTTCTTGTAATCTTACTTTTCTGTATATTTTCTTGTTCCATTTTCTATGCAAACTATTGAATTTCCGCTTCTCCTCTTTCCTTGCTAACACAATCACAGTTAAAGGTACTTCCGTATAAGCTAATAAAAGTACATCTGCTCAGAAAATTTGTGAAAAAAAGTCTATAGATTGTATAAAACATCAGTTTGGTTTTAAATTGTCATAGCAACACTGACGTCTAACTTTAAATGACAGAGTTAATATTTGTGAAATGTTGTATTCATAATATATTTTGGGAAGCTGCAGTAA